CCGGTGGTATAAGAACAACAAAAGATTTCCTACAAATAGATGTTTCTAAAAATCCATCTCCATTCCTTTTTACCGATACATCTAAAAAAAGTCAAACTATTATTTGTCTCAATTTCATGCGTAAATTGTACAGAAGGTTCTATACTATTCAATTATCATTATTTTATCAAATATTTCATAAAAACAACTTAAATACTCAGAAGTTCTTATAAATATATGTAACAATTATTTTGACGAGCTTTTGTTTCATTTTCTAATTATTTTGAACTTAAAGCTATATTTATTCGTGTTTGTCCCAATAATAAATGTTCAATATACCTGTTAGAAAGCTTGGATAGACTTGAATCATGTGATATATCCATATGATTAGACTTTGGAATGTACATCGAGGAATGGCTGGTAAACTTGTTACGTACTACTGTGGATTGTGGATTATCAATGCCCTGAAAAGTATATTTAGTTATTAGACAAAAAAGCTTAGCATAAGTAATCAGCTGAACTAGACTTACCTGCAAGCCTTCAAGCTAAAACCACCTTAAATGAGTAGATACTTGATGACAAAATCTAAAAATTCATTACTGTTGCAATAAAACCAAGAATAAAATTAGAAACATTTTAGGATTTTACACTCAATCTTCGTACCATAAATATCAGAGAATGTGCTATAAATAAGGCCAGTCAATAGGCACAAGTGATCAATGACACAATTGGTATTTAGGTAAACTTTTATCTTCATGATAGATGCTACTGTTCAACAAACTTTTTCCTGTGGTTAAGTACTAAAAATAACAGATCATTTTCTTTAAACTACAGCATTATGTAGGTCTTAAGGAAAAATAGGAATTATAAACATTAACTGAAATCGTGTAGGTATCAACATTACCGTAGTTGTTTTGTTTTGTATATACATTGTTGAAAAAAAAAAAACCTAAGGAAAATACACATGTTGCATGTTTAGGAAAATTATTACATTTCTCAGACTTTAGAGAAAACAACTCAATTGTTTCACAGGTTTCCAAAGAAAAGAATTAAAACTTTACATAATTAGCATACAAAGACTAGAAGACCATATAACGATATTTATGAATACTTGTGCATGAACAATACGATCTACAAAGTTGATATACTCTTAAAATGCCAAACCTTTCCTTCCAACTCCAAGTGTTCACTCTGTCTCGCTTGATCCATACTCTCCATAATGATCTCCCAAAGTTGTTTGTATAACCCTGACTGTGCTGGGTTAAACACAAGTTTAACATTCACAAACTGATAAGGATCAATTTCACCACTGGCGGGTGTCACAAAAAAGACAGAAGATGGGGATGGTTGCATCTGATTTAGAGTTTTGTCTCCAGATAAATCCTGTGATTTATATATATCAAAGATTACATGAAAATATAAACCTAGTAGCATTCTAATTACATGGCAAAAAATGATTTTAGAAGATGAGAAATGTTGTTATGTAACTTATATTTGCATGCTTTATAATTAAGTCTACAAGACTTTTAAACAGAAGAATATAAAAATTCATTATGTATAAATCTTGTAAATGTTGAAGTTTACTGACTAATTTCAATAACTTATCTAACAAAACTGACACACAAAAAAAAAGATGCAAGATTAAAACCAGGTGTGAATGATACTAAACAAATTAGGAAATCCTACAGTCAAAATGTTGAAAATCACTGTTCTAATGAGGAATTTTAAACTGACCAATAGCGTCTTCAGTTTAACAAAAGGAAATCTGATAAACATTTGCTTTACATAAAATCATAGCCCTACACACATATGCATACACCATTTAATCTTACACAAACTGAGATGTATATTTTTTCTACTAAATTATTTCTTGAGATCAGTTTGATGTTACTCTTTTTTTTAGAATTACTCTCTAAAAATATATTACTTATGCCATGAATTCACACGATAACTAATGCAGCTATTTTAACCCTCAAACACCTGTGTGTGATGATCCTACACACACTTGTTCTCTGGTTTGTTTTATTGCATAAAAAACAAAATACAGGGTTAAATTATTTGGAACTTAAGATGAACTAACTACATATTATGTAACTTTTGTAAAATAAAATATCCCCCTTTTATGTGTGATATTTATATGAATCCCCAGCTTTGTACATTGGAAAAAAATTCTCTGGAAATGTTTTCTTTAAGAAACAAAAATACTCACACTTGTAATTTCAATTGATGGTATTTATCTTCCTACAATCTTGTAACACTTTTCAATTAAGTTGGATTCTATAATTTTGTTTTGATTTATGATCAATGATGTGCAATAATAACAATAACTTTTTTACATTACAAAAATTATTATTAAGTTTTAAATAGATTATATTCATTTATATAAATATGATTTTTTACTTTGGCAATTCAAGTAGTTACTTAAGTCAATCAAGCTTAATATAAATGTATAATGAACAGCAACCTTCCACTGATGAAACAAATCTCAGTATGATCAAGTGAAAAATTACTTGACAAAGCCTAAGGAATTTCCTTTCATACTACAATATTCTAATTTAAATGAAGTATAAACTAATAAAGCAAGCTTTTTTTGGAAGCTGTAAATAAGATCATCAGAACTGTAACCGAGTCAGAAGCAATATATCACCAAGTTAAGCTTTTATCATTTTGTTACAATTTCTATGTAAGCCTCCACTGAACTGATGTGGAATATAAATAGACCATGCATTTATCCCTTTTATTTATTAATATAATATATACTTTAAATTTCATTTATTTCTGTGTGTGGGTTTCACATAATATGTGGCCCAGAAAGGTAAGCTGATGTTGTTCTAGCTGCCTTTGTTGCTTGTCATTCTATTGAGGTCATATCTGTCTTGCCCTGTAAGGGTATGACTGTAATACTGCACATTGTGCAAGGATGTGGAGAGCAGTGCTCTTAAATGGTAGTTTAGATGGTATTTCAAGGATATGGCCTTACCTATACTTGAATGTGAATGAACAGTTATTTGAGTAGCACAATTGTTCTCAGTAAACCCAATGTCACATGCGATATAAGGGACATGGGTTTTAAAATGTTTGGTCTGATCAGTCAAAGATACTTAATCAAGTAGAATGTCCGTAAAGCAAGTACACGCAGTGTTTGTTAATAAATACACATTATTTATATTTATTTTACATTGTATCAAATCTCTTTTACTTCATTCTCATGAATTCACTTTCTCTGGGATTCAGTGCTACTTCGTAACACATATCTTGTTGAACCTCCTGTTATTAAGTGTACCCATCCCTCTGCTCTAAGGTTAACTCAGTTTTACTTGAACATACCACACTGGAAGATATACTGGTTTGCACAGTTAAAAAATGGTTTAGATTATTAACCTATGGCTTCTCAAAGTTCTTAAACATACATAATTTACATAACACCATTACAGCTGAAGATTCTAGATGGTGACTGGCTAAAAGCAATAAACTTCATTTGTACTAAAGATAAAGGTTCAAATTGGCACTGTTTTGCTCATAAATATAGATTTTTATTCTAGGGAGCTATGTGTGCCATGTTATGCTCAGAAAAATATTTAGAAATGCTAATATTTTTTATATAAAACATACTGAAATCAACCCAAAACCAAAACTTAAGTTTTTCAAAATTGTTATGCAAAAAATTAAGTAAATAAAACTTTTATTGAGTAAATTTCAACTCTGAAGTATTAATTTGAAGAAAAATGAACACAAATTTATTTTCTATAAATATCTTAAATCCACGGTGCAATTTTGCCCTCTGGCAATGAGTGAACCTCACTGGATGCATAGGCTTAATTTCTTTTTATCAGAGCTACTCACCTCGATAACAGGTACTGCTATAGGGCGCAAGCTCCAGTTAACCTTCTTGTGACACTGACTCTTTAACTCAAAGGAATAACCTGATACAGAAAAACATAATAAAAATGGATCTCTCCAGTGTTACAAATAAAGCAGACACTTCATGATATCACATTACAAACTATCCTAGCATCCACTCACCTTATACCTTATCTAAAATTCTTTTCTTCAACAGCACACCATTAAAAACTTCAACTTACCCTTCCCTACAATAAATTAATAAATGGGAGAGTGAAGTGGAAATCTTGAAAACTATTATTTGAACATAATAATGCTCATAAATATAACTTCAGATGGTTGGTAAACAATACTTCTAATACTATGCATACTTAAGTGTTCATATACTTTATTATTTTAATTTAGCTATTCCAGATTTTATTTTAGACACACTGAAATCATACCTAAAAGAAGTGCCATCAATAAAACAGTAAATTAAATAAAATGTAAAATTTCCCGATTCTTACAAACTTGCGATTGTACACAATCCTACAACTATCATTTACACAATTTTCAGACCTGAAAATAATGGTCTTCATTCAGCCATCTACCAACTATATATATACACACACACACACACACATACATATAACACTTTTGGGAAAGTGCTTAGAAATGGCCTTGTTACAGCTATATGAATAACCTTCACAAAATTGTCAGAATGACTCTAAAGTAATAAGAACTAAAAATTAAAATGTAATAGTGAAGTCTATTGCAAACTTGAAAATTACCATCTAGAAAATAGCTATAGTAACATTTTAAATACCATAATTATGGAACATTTTTAATGTTTAATTGAAATCAAAGATTTTCCAACATATTATATCACATCTCCTGCTTACATGAGATGATCTGATGCACTTCAACCCACAATAAAAGATTTAAATAAAATTGAAGATCAAATAAAATATCCAAGACTTAAATGCTGAATAATGTATACTCCTG